CCGGAGTAGCAACTGTGACCCATCACTGTGTTCCTCTTATTCTGCCTTTGAATGAAAAACCAAAACCCCAATTCACTTGTTAATTCTTTTCAGCACTTATCACTACCTGGCATTTGTTTTATTTTCTATCAGTAACCCCCCCCCCCCCCCGTTCCCTGCACCCAAGTCCCCTGGAATGTGCGTCTCTATGGCCAGGGACTCTGTTTCCATCACTGCCGTGTCTTTGCATCTAGAGTAGTGACCATTGTGAATTTGGTTCTCATTGGATGTTGATTCATTGAAGCTGTGTGTTCCAGAGTTCAAGTAGTGCTTTTTCCTTCCTACTTGGTTCTTATAGACTTAGTCCATTCTGAATTTTTCTGATACCTGTTGTCTTACTTTGGTACCAAGTTCACCTTTTATGTTAACATATGTTTTGTCTCTCCAATGAGATGGCAGGGTTTGTACCATATCTTTTGTCTTTGTCTAGAAAGTCTAACATAGTAAGAGTAAGCAAACACTCACTAAATTTAATTTTAAAATAAACGAGTTGCTATGCAGCTTCATTGTCTATGTGGTGTTGATTCCTAAGTCCAGTGGTTCATTCAGCAAGTCCATTCGTTCATTGATTCAGTAAATACTTAGTGAGCATCTACTATTCAGGTCCTGATTTGTAGAAGTAAACAAAATGTTGCTCTCATGAAGTTAATGGTGTAATCAGGAATAACAAAAATATGTATCCTATACATGCCTCCCCTGGTAACTGCTCTGAGAACAGTAAAAGATAATGGGTGTTCCAGTGTGGGAGTTAGGGGCTTGCTGTTTGACACATCATAAGAAAGCCTCTTGGTGAAGGAGGGTGCCCTGTGAGTTGGTATTAGACCAGTGTTTCCAGCAGAAGTGCAAAGGCCCTAAAACAGAGGTAGTGTTAGTGCTTTTAAAGAAGCAGTCGGGCTGAAGCAGTCAGCCAAGTATGGGCTAGTAGGAGTTGAGGCCAAATCATGTGATGTTAGTAGTTTGATACTAGGAGATATTGAAGAGTTTTGATTAGAAGATGACTTGATTTGATGATTCTACAGGGGATAGCTCTGGGTGCTGTATGGAGCTAGGAGTTTGTGTCCTGGAGAGAAGTGAAGACCAGCTGGAAAGAACTTGGGATAATCCAGGTGAAACAGAGTGCTAGTGTAGGCCAGGGATGTAGCAGTGGAAGTGGGGAGTACTGATTTGACCCTGGGTATATTTTGAGGGCAGATTTGGTAAGGTCTGATACCTTGGATATAGGTATGAGAGAAAAAGAAGAGTTAAAACTGACTCCTTAGATATTTGGCTTGAATAATTAATTGCTGTGAGCAGAAAGGGGTGGAAACTAGAAGTGCTTTTCTATTACCTTCTTGGGAGTTTGCTCCAGACTCCATCAGTTTCCAGTAGTTTACTGAGTTTAAGGTTCCTGTTTAATCTCTGAAAATGACATGTATGTAGTTAGAAGTACTGACGTTAAGAAAAAAGCAGGTTAGAAACATATATGTCAGAGTTCTGAGGGTGGAAGTGAGTTTTAAATCCAGAAGACTGGAAGAGATCACAAGGAAGTAAATGTAGGAGAAGAAGCTTTCTCACTGAATTTTGGGCACTGTAGGTAGGGTTTGGAGTTGGGAGATGAGGCGAATCAGCAAGGAGACCACAGCAAAAAGATGACCAAAGAGGAGAATTAAGATAGTGCACTTCGTGGTGCCAGGGGTCGAGAGGAGGGAACAAGCCCTGACTTTTGGAAATGCTTTGATAAGTTAGATGAGATCAAAATTGGCACTTGGCCAGTGGATTGATAAGCTTGTTGGTGAGCTTAACTAAGACCTCATTAGTGATTAACCCAGGGCCCCTCCAAATTGAGTAATGGCTTGGACAGAATTAGTGAGCTTCCCAGGAAGAGTGCCTCTCAACACTAATCAGTGGGGAGAGACTCTATCTACCAGTCTTGACTTTGCAAATTGCAAGACTCCGATGTTGGATGTTCTGAGTTGTGAAATTTTAACTGTATGTTGTATGTGGGAAGGTAGTGTATGAAAGGATTCACAGACAAAAATACTTCCTCATTCATCACTAACTTGTCATTGTTCTAGAAAACCAGTAGCATAGTCTGATTATGAAAATCAGGTAATAACTCATATCCATACCGCAAGGGAAGTAAACTAAATTTAATGGAAAATTAAGATTTCAAGAAACTTGTTTAAGAACTAAGATTAGTGTTTTTCTTTTCCTATAAGAGAGTTGTTAATTTATCTCTTTGAAAGAAAGATTTTGAGTTGCATTTTAGATATAATAGGTAAGATTTGGGTATTAAAGTTTTTAGAAGCCCAACTTACTAAATGTAGCGTGGCATCTAAGAATATACTAGTTGCTGGTTTTGAAGATTTTCAGAAGTGTCCAAATGACTGAAAGACTAGCCTGACTTTCAGTTTCTTTTTATTTGTGAAAATGTCCCTTCACTTTAAAGTTTGTCTTTCCAACATTTTTCTTTTATCTTTGTCCATATTCACAGTTTTTGTTAAATTATCATCTTACATACCAAGTGTGTACAATTTGTCATATATATATATATATATATGTATGTATATATATATATATATATATTTTTTTTTTTTTTTAATTAGGCTCTTGCTGTATTCCCCAGGTTGGCCTTGAACTCCATGACCAAGCGATCATCCTATGTACCTCATCCTCCTGGTTGGGTGGCTTGGACTCTGCCCACACATTGTGCTACTTCGCACATTTTAAATTCTGATCTCTCACACTTGTGACCTCTGGGTGGCTGCTCTGGTTAGTCAGTGGGTGTCAGAAGTTAATTGTATGGTGTTTTCAGGGGTAGACATGCCCTATTACAATTCAGATGGCACTGTGAGTGTACTACTAAGTGTATGGGTGCTTCAGGGATGAGGAAGAGGTACACTAATGACTTTGGTGTGTATTCTACTGTATATTTGTCACTCAAAAAATAAAAATCATTTCAAATGATATGAAAATACATATAATGCCCAATATTAAGTATAAGAAAATCTTTTTTTACTGAAATAACTTTGGATCTCCAGAAAAGTTGCTTACATGTTAGTAAAGGGAAGGATATTAATATTTGAAGCTCCAGATGTTGTCTGGTACACTTCTTCTGTGTCACCATGAAGGAAGGAGTATTGTCCCTGACCATCCCGATTTGCAGTAAAGTCACTCAGCAGTCTGGAGAACTTGCCTGGCTCCTGCAGCCATTAAGTGAGTGAGCCAGGATTCAAACTCAGACTGCAGGCACTGCAACCATTGCATCAGACTGCCTCACCAAATGATTGCTCGTTATTTTTTTAAATAATAAGTACATTTGGAATCAGAGCCAGTTCTCAAATATCAAGTTCACTGATATCCAGAGTGTAAGCAGTCTTGTTTGCCCTCTGAAACTGCCTTTAATCCCTCAGTCCAGAAGGCATACTTTAATGCAATTAGAGGGGAAGTTATGGAGATTACCTTGGACCTACCCAGTTTAAATATTTTACACACTGAAGTTGATAAAAATTTAACTTTCAACTACTGTTTGTAACAAATCACTTGACACATACCTTACTACCCATGAAGACACTAATATGACAAAATCCCAGAGCTGAGAACTGCAGGAGAATGGAGCCATTACCAGATATAGTCCCCTCCATTTATTATATTTCCCGTAATGGGGACAGCTACTTGTCTAGCTGGAGAAGGGAAATCAGACTATAAAGTTGGAGAATTAAGGTCATACAGATAAAGCCAAAATGTCTGAAACTTAACAAAGTTACCTTAAAACCAACATATGTGATTATTTATGATGAGGTGAATTTCAGATCTGATAGAGACTAGAAATGCTAGAAAGACAGTAGGAGGTCAGTATATGGGTGTTAGTTTTCTGAGGAAAGTTTAGAAAACATTTTCAGTTGAACTAAGCCAGATTGACTTTTATTACCTCAGTTATTAAAGGACTTTAGTAAAATATCTAAGAATAGTTTTAAGCAACATAAAAGCTCAATAACATCCCCAACTGGGAATTATTTTAATTCCTAAGTATTTAATTTGAAATCTTGTACTCCTCTAAATGTCTGTGGTTAAACTAAGGAAGTTAGTGACAGATTCAGCAGGCTCTGAACCTGAGTACCTGTAAGAGCCTGACTGAACCAGAGCGACTCCATGTTGACCAGCAAACGACCTAGAGACTGTCGCTCCCCCCCATCCCTTATAGGATAACTAATGATTAATTGTGAATTGTTAGGTAACTGCTTTGAAGTAGCTGGGAAACTAAATGGAAACTGTAGTGAACACAGAGACCCAACACAAATCACGCCACTCCTTACTTGCCTGTAGTTGAATGTTCTGAACATTATAATCTAAGTTGTAAATGGAATAATGGATAATCGCTCTGCTGATCATTTGTACGTGACGGTCAAGTATATGCTTGATGAGCACTAGCTCAGATCAACTGATTCTTTGCCTTTGTCCTCTTCCTGTAAGTTTTAAGTGTAAACCCCCCCTCAGCCCTATATAAAGTGGCCTCTGTTTCTGAGCTAGCCACCTCTCTGAGCTACTTGGCTTGGGGAGTGCCCTCTGGCCAGACTAATAAAGGTCTATTTGCCAACTTGCCTGGTGTGTTCCTTCCTGGGTGACTCTCGCTGTCCGACAAGCTCCTGGAGCCTCGCTGAGCTTCTGAGCCCAGCATCGTGGAAGCCTCTTGGCTGTTCACGCCCCAGGAGTAAAAGTGAGACTTAAGTCTTACATCTTGGAGGCCCCAGTGAGATCCCCAAGTGGGAACTGTAAATCCGGCCGAGATTCTCTGTCGCAGGATCCAGCAGGAGATTCTCAGACATAGACCTGAAAAGCCTCCGGAGGTAAGTTTTGAATCAGTTGAAACCATGTGATGTCAGGATAGAGGTAAGTTTTGAATCGGTTGCAACCATGTGATGTCAGGATAGAGGTGGCTGACGAGCCGGGAAGCCTCACCTGACCCCGGCCCTGACGAGGATTCCGGGTAGAATCTAGGTTCTTTTTCTTTTGTGTGGCGCCTGTGTCCTGTCTGTTGAGTGTTAACCTTACATTCATTCCTCGGAACAAGATGGGAGGATCAAGCTCCAAAAATACCCCATTGGGCTGTTTTCTCACTAGCTTTAAATTGGCTTTTTCCCCTGAGCAGCAAGATGAATATGGAATGAAGTTTTCTCGAGGGAAACTCCGAACCCTCTGCAACTTGGAGTGGCCCGCCTTCGGAGTGGGCTGGCCAGCTGAAGGTTCTTTCGAACCAAGACTTTGTTGGGCAGTATGGGCAAAGGTCATTGAACACCCTGGCCACCCTGACCAATTCCCTTGTATTAATGTCTGGGCCCAGGCCTGTGAAGAACCTCCGGCATGGCTGCAGCACTGCTCCCTGCGCACCAGTTCTCGTATTCTGGTAATGGTGCCAAATGGGACAAAGTCCGCAAAGCGACAGGCACCCAGGCCGGTGTTCTCCCAGGAGCCGGACCCCTTAGAGCCTACTGACCCCGGGTTAAGACCCCCTCCGTATGCAGAACCATCCCTGGGGAGGCAAAAGTTAAGTCCATCTACCCATCTCCCCCGAAAGAAGGGGAGATCCCGGATTCCACCACCTCTCCTTCCCGTACCCGAGGGGGCTCTACTTATGGGCCCCTGGAGGCGCTCCAGGAGAGACGGGACCCAGTCCCTGTGCTCCCATTGAGAGAAACAGAACAAGGTCATTATGTATACGTTCCTTTCTCTACAAGTGATTTATATAACTGGAAGCACCAGAATCCCCTGTTTTCTGAGAAGCCGCAAGCCCTAATCTCCCTCCTCGAGTCTGTGTTTAATACCCATTACCCCACCTGGGATGATTGTCAGCAACTTTTACAGGCTCTGTTCACATCCGAGGAATGAGAAAGAATTAGAAGACATGCTATTCGGTCAGTGCTAGGGAGAGCTGAGGGGCTTGTTGACGACCAACAACAACAGGCCCGAGTTGAAGCACAACTCCCCATCTCCCGTCCCAAATGGGAATCGAATTCCACCGGAGGTAGGGAAACTCTTCGCAACTACTGTCAGCATCTCCTGACCGGCCTTAGGGGAGCCGCTCGCAAGCCTACCAATTTGAGCAAGGTAAGCGAGGTCCTACAAGGGCCTGAGGAATCCCCCTCTGCCTTCCTGGAGCGTTTACTGGAGGCGTACCGCACATACACTCTAATTGACCCAGACGCTTCAGCAAACAGGCAGGCAATTAATCTGGCTTTTGTAACTCAGTCGGCCCCAGATAGATATTCGGAAAAATTTACAGAGAATTGAGGGCTTTGAAGGAGAAAATAGGGAAAAATTGATAAGTGTAGCAATGAAGGTGTTCACAAACAGGGATCCACCCGAAGATAGAATAACTAAAAAGATGGCAAGGGCAAATATAATGATGATGGCAGAAGAAGGTTTTATACAGAAGGGGAGAAAAATGAAATGGGGAAATAAGAAGAATTTAAACTAATTGGAGAAGAAGAAAATTCTCCAGAACAAAAATGGGACTATTTGCAAGAAAAATTCCTCAGGTATGGGCTGAAACAAACTTACCGGGACTGGCAAAACATCAAGTCCCTATAATAGTCCAATTGTTGGCCTCTGCCACCCCTGTTCAGGTCCGACAATATCCTCTTCGCTTGGAGGCTAAGATAAAAATATCTGAACACATCCACCAACTTTTAGATGCTGGAATATTGATCCCATGTCAGTCAGCCTGGAACACACCCTTGCTGCCTGTAAAGAAACCTGGCACATCAGACTACAGGCCGGTACAGGACTTGTGGGAGGTAAACAGCCGGGTGGAGACCATCCACCCGATGGTACCGAACCCCTACACACTGCTGAGCCTCATTCCGCCTACACATGTATGGTATTCAGTTCTTGATCTCAGAGATGCATTTTTCAGCCTGCCCCTGGCACCAGTAAGCCAGCCGCTCTTTGCATTTGAATGGACAGACCCGGGCACTGGAACTATTGGACAATTGACATGGACTCAATTCCCACAAGGCTTTAAGATTTAAGAACTCCCCCACACTGTTCGGGGAGGCTCTCAGCAGAGATCTACAAGAGGTAAGGAAAGCTTTTCCCTATGCAACTGTTCTCCAGTATGTAGACGACCTCTTAGTGGCGACCACAACCGAGAAAAAATGTCTCACAGCCACCGAGGGACTCCTGGAGGCCCTACAAGGTCTGGGATATCCATTGTCCTGGAAGAAAGCCCAGCTCTGCAAAACCAAGGTAACTTACTTGGGTTATGTTCTTGAAAAAGGAAAAAGAAAGTTAGCTGAATCCAGGGTGTCAGCGATCCTTCAGATCCCCACGCCCAGCTCAAAGAAGCAGGTGCATGAGTTTCTGGGGGCCATAGGATACTGCAGAATCTGTATACCTAGCTTTGCTGAAATTGCCACACCCCTGCATGAGGCTATGGAGGGGGGAACCGCACCCTTTGAAATACTTTCACTGATAGCCATTATGCTTTTGCTATTGCCCATGTACATGGAGAAATTTACCAGAATAGAGGACTTTTAACATCAGACGGGAAAGAGATTAAAAACAAAGTTGAGATATTGGCTCTGCTGCAAGCTATTTGGCTGCCAAGGGAGGTTGCCATCATTCACTGCCGTGGACATCAAAGGAATTCCAGCCCTGAAGTGATTGGAAACAACACAGTTGACCAGGCAGCAAAGCAAGCTGCCCAAAAATCAGTGGGGAAACAAATGGTGCTGCTACCTACACCCGTGCTCCCAGAGAGGCCTGAATACACAGAGGAAGAAATAACGGAGATGAGTAAGAACCACTGGACCAAAGGAAAGCATGGATGGTGGACGACAGATGAAGGGAAGGTCGTTCCGCCAGCCGCGGTGGCTGACACCTTGCTAAATGAGCTCCATGAATCCACCCACCTAGGAGAAAAGTGGATGATGGCCCTGCTACGGCCCCACTTTGTCAGCAGAGAATTAGCCCAGAAGGCCCGGGACAAAGTGAGACGGTGCCCCACCTGCCTCAAGGTAAACGCGAATCTGGTAACTGGGCCCCCAGGGGTCCAATATAGGGGACTGACTCCCGGAGAACACTGGGAAGTGGACTTCACCGAAATGAAACTAGGCGTTTATGGTTACAAATATCTGTTAGTTTTCATAGACACATTCTCAGGGTGGGTGGAAGCATACCCTACTAAAAAGGAAACAGCTGAGGTAACAGTAAAAAGCTCCTGACTGAGATAGTTCCCCGTTTTGGCTTGCCCTTAGCCCTGGGGTCCGACAATGGCCCAGCCTTCACGGCTAAAGTGTCTAAACTGATTAGCCTAAGCATTGGAATTAGATGAAATTTACATTGTGCTTACAGACCTCAAAGTTCAGGACAGGTAGAAAGAGCTAACAGAACACTAAAAGAGATTTTAACTAAATTGAGCCTAGAGACTGAATTAAGTTGGGTGGAGCTTCTCCCTTTTGCTCTGTTGTGTATTCGATGTACTCCCAAGCCTCCTCTGAATCTGTCACCCTTCCAAATTGTCTGTGAGCGTACTCCGCCCTTGGTTCCCCATATAGACATGGAATTAAAGGAGAAATTCTTTCATCTGAGGTTGCTTAAGTCTCTGAGAGCTTTACTTGAAATACAGTCTCAACTACAAGACCAGGTTAGAGGATCTCTGACCCTTCCTCATGAGAAACCTCTACAGCCACTGCCCTATACGCCGGGAGAACTGGTTTATATTCGCAGGTTTGACTCCAAGACCTTGGAACCACGGTGGAAGGGGCCTTTTCCAGTTGTCCTGTCTACTC